CCCCAAAGTCCAGACTTTAACAGGAACCTCCCGTCTTTGTGTTTCCTGTCTGAGCCCTGGTGGAGTGATACGCAGAACCAGCTTCCACACTTCAACTTTAACTCGACTTCCAAACAGGAATGTGAGAGTTGCCTGGACCCACTGTGCTTTTCCACACGGTTCAGAGGTTTGATTCTCATTAAATCGTCAGGATCTACAAGTAATCCTTTTAAGGAAGCCAGACGGACCTCCAGAGAAAGTCCCAGAACATCACATGTTTACTTTGTGAATGGATGATAAATGCAGCCTTGCTAACTGTGCAGTGTTAGCAAGGCAAAAACACTCAAGATTTATTATGAAGAGAAGCCAGAGACACCCGACCCCTGTGTCACTGACTGAAACAAAGAGGGTCGCTCATATTTATGTTTCTGAAATGGAAAAGCCATCTTTTTTCCCAGTGTCTAATATCTCTATAAAGGGATATTAGTGTGCTTATTTCATCCATTTGCACCTGAAATAAGCAGCCATTGCTCTGTATGTGCTATCTGAAACGTGGAGCTGCATCTGGTTAAATGGCAGTCATGCAACGTTTTGTGCTTTGTGACCTCTGTGGGAGCCCAGGGAATAGTCAGAGCCCGTATGACACTGAAAGCATCATTCACATCACAATCCTACTAAAACATATATTCACAGCAGATTCTGAGAGAGGACAGCATGTGGCAGCGATGAGACTCACCTCGTCGCCTTCTTCTGAGTGCTGGGAGAGCTGGTCGTGGTCCATGATGCCAGCTTCGTCTTCTGTGGGCCCGTTGCCCACCCGCACCCCTCCAAACTTCTGCGTGCCCTGTTGAGTGAGTCCGGTGCATGATGAGGACACGCCTGTTTGCTCTAAAGACTGCTCTAGATTCTCTGCAGGGGTTTCTTCCCTCTTCTGTGACTAGATACAAAAGCCACAAGAGCTGTGTCTAGCTTAAAGCAAGCCTTAGGATGTTTCCTTCTTAATTTACTCCAATTTGTAAAACAGGACACCCAGAAACCGAGACAAAATAGATTTACCAGCTTATCAAGTATAACGGTTCAAATTTCAATAAGCAATCGTTCACTGGAGAGCAAAATAGTCTCACTGGTTCAATCACAGCTGAGCACAAAGACCTGAAGACCCGTCCAGCTAACTGTAGCTGCACAGATCTCATCATCATCTTATTCTAATAGCACTCGTGTGAGATTTACAACTGCTGGGAAACAAATACTGAAGCAT